GAAGAGCGAAAGAAAACCCAGAAAGCGAAAAACAAGAAAGAGAGGGTTTTCCGTCGAGTCGTGAGATCGAATCTTCCAAAAAAGTTTGGATTTTTACTTTGAATCCGTCGTCTGGAGGCTTTCGGCGACGTGGGTTTTATGTATAACCAAAGTCAAGAGAATGAAACCTCTATTCAAAGGGAAAAAATCGAAGCTTTGGTGCTCTCTCCTCGACCGATATAGACATGTATTTCAAGAAGAAGTGGAAGAAGCGGCGCGATTCCATACATACATACATACATATATACACACACACACATTCTCGTATACAAAATCCACCATTTTGCTTATATGCAATTATTTTTTTAACCCATCTGTTATAATTTCATGCTAAAGTCGTCGCCTTTATGAAAAGATTATGAATCCGAATTCGCCACAGATGGATTCATGGATTGTTAAATAAATGGGGTTTTTTTTTTTTTGGGAGTATGTCCAAATCTTTGAACATTTTGGATAAGGCTGCCGCGACACATCAGTTGTAAACTTCGCAGGATAATCTAAGACAGTGTGTTAAAAAATTAGGAGAAAAGGAAGTTTACAGATGAAAAATATCAGATCCCATTCGAGACACAAACTGACTAGATACGCAATTTAGTTAGGTAAGGAACAAAAAAGAAAAATATATTTTTTGGGAATGTGAAAGAGAAGAGTTTACACACAAAAAAATGGACAAGTTGGTGTTATATTATATGATATACTAACAGATAGGACCTGACCATTTTGTTTTGAAAAATAAAATTTTTTACCAATAAAAATCTGAATCCGAATAATTGAACCGAACTTGAACCGAAATGACTACCCCTACTAACACATACACAGAAGAACAACAAGAGATTCTGCTGGATCATGGATTAAAAAAGAACCAAAACCTGTAAATCAGAAAGATTAATGAACTCACAAGAGTTAATAACACATCCTTCAAACCATTCCTCGAGATCAGGGTCACATATAATTTCATCTCAATTGATTCGAGTAGCATATTTTGTTGCTCCATTGCACAAAATAAGCATGCAGGTTCATGGTCCTAACTGATGGTTGCCGGACCAACCACCTAAGCATAAAATCACAACGTAATGCCATGTCAGAATGCATTTAACACTGGCATGCCACTGATACTACAACATCATCACATCATCCAGAAAGCACATATATACTGCATGAAGTTGAAGGAAAAGATATGGGGTTTTAACCCTAATAACCCACTTGGGTCGCAGCAATTTCAGGGTACACCACCGAAAAAAAAAAAAA